CTGCCTATACCGGTCTTTCAAACTACATTTTATTCAAGTTATCTTGTACGCCATATTTTCAAGTTAGAATTGTTAAGCATTTTGCTGTCATACACCAGCTTAATGTTGACTCAATATCTTTGTTCTCATAATGTATATATGAGAAGGATCCTCAAACCCACTTGTGCTTTAACTTCTATTCTTTGATTGAAATGTTGAAGGTTGTGCTTGCTAAAATCTTGTAACTTACATTTTCAAATTATCAATTATTATGTTATAGTGTCTGAGAATATACATTGTGGTTTTAGTCTTCTTATCCATATGTTAGCAAGTCCAAGTTTAGATGTACACTATCTAATAAATTTAAAATGACATAAGAGTGAAAAATAAACATGAGCGCGCAGTATACTCTAAACACATGGTGGGTATTTAAAAAATTAAACCCAGAGGTTTAAGCTTTATGGAAATAGTGAGCATCACATAACTAGCTATGTTGGTTTGGCACAAGAAAAATTTCACCTTTTTCCAAAAAAATTATTTTGTTTCTATTAAAACAGAGAATTAAAGAAAGTATTATTATTATTATTATTATTATTATTTTGGGGGGTGCTTTTGTAACCATCAAGTTTCCATTCTATTGAAGTGGTACTGATTGGTTTACACTGATCAAGTGTAACAACTGTGGAGCAATATGAGGATGGGGAAGAAATAATGTTGTCTTACTCATTTAAGTTCTCAACATTCTTCAATTTCTCAATCATTAATTTCAACCCCATGTTCTCACTAGCCTCAATTTAACAGACATCATCATTGCATAAAAAATAAAAGATGAAGCGTATTTTATGTTCAGGTGTTATTATCTAGCTATAAATTTTATAAGAAAATGAACTACTTAAAAAAATTTTACTTTGACATATTTTTAATAGAAAACTAGTAATACATGACTAATATCCATTATATCTTATATTAGTAATTAATAACTAATATTTTATTAATTAAATACAAATACACGAACAAACATTTCACATCTCACATAATTATTCCTCACGAATTTGCTTTCATCCACATATCTCTTAAGCCGCTTTCTTCCATAATTTCACAAAAATCAACACATGAACTCAAAAGAATCATGATGTGCCTATGTACGTTGAAAATTAATTTATTTTTAGCAAAAACTTATATTGATATATTACCATTATTCACGTATCTATTAATTTGTATTATAATAATAGAGTAGTGTTTTTATTAGAAAAATGTAAAAAATAAAAAAATTATATATTTGAGTATAATATTAATGAGAAATTATAATTATACATAATATAATATACAGATTTAAAATTCATTAATATATACTCAGACATATGATCCAAAAAGTTTTATACTTACTTTTATACATTTTTAACAAATATATATATAGGGATTGGTTCCAATGAGGACACATTTTTAAAATGAGGACATGAAACTCAATCCTAGCCACTAAAAGAGTATCAAGATGTGTGGCCAAGATTTAACTTTTTATTTAAATAATAATTTTTTATTTTAATTATTTTAGTTATTTAAATATTATTTTGACCATTGACCGTTGACTCCAGCATTGACCGTTGATTTCCGGTGAAAATCGTTGACTTCCGACGTTGACCCGTTGACCATAATATATATTGTGTATGAAGTAAATATGGTGAGACAAAGTTAGTCTAAATATGTTACAAAGTTATTGAAACAGGGTTAGTTGCAAAGTTAGTTCTATCTTGTTGCAGGGTTAGTTGTTTTTGTTTACAATGTTTAGTTGTATTCAGTTTGCAAGGTTAGTTGTCTATAGTTGCAAGGTTAGTTGTCTTTAGTTGCAAGGTTAGTTGTCTTTGGTTGCAAGGTTAGTTATCTGTATTTGCAATTAGGTTAGTTCTGTCAAGTTGCAATGTTAGTTTTCTCTAGTTACAAGGTTAGTTATCTGTACTTGCAAAGTTAGTTCTATCTTGTTGCAGGGTTATTTTTTTTATTTGCAATGTTTAGTTGTATTCAGTTTGCAAGGTTAGTTGTCTATAGTTGCAAGTTTAGTTGTCTTTGGTTGCAAGGTTAGTTGTCTTTGGTTGCAAGGTTAGTTACTTGTAGTTGCAAGGTTAGTTCTGTCTAGTTGCAATGTTAGTTTTATCTAGTTACAAGGTTAGTTGTCTGTAGTTGCAAAATTAGTTATATCTTGTTGCAAGGTTAGTTGTCTGTAGTTGCAAGGTTAGTTGTCCTCATTTTAAGAGATGTCCTCATTTGATCCGCCCTATATATATATATATATATATATATATATATATATATATCTATACTTATATAATAAGGTGTACCATTTNACACACACACACATATATATATATATATAGAAGGGATCATATGAGAATGGAAGATAGTGAAAAAAATAAGAATAAACCTGGACCATAGGATCAACCATATCAATGGTTATGATTAAGTCAAACTTGGTCAATTATTAATGGCAATCTGGTAATTATTTTATCATAGTGTGGGGAAATATGTGTATTTGACCAATAATTAAGGATAAGTTGGTCAATACACATATATTATGTGGGACGCATCAACAATAAACAACCCATTTTCTCTTTCATCACCATCTCTATCTCTCTTTCTCACGATCCACAAACACACACACACATTTCGGCAACCACCAGCCCACGCCCAACTCAGCCACCGAAATTCATCCACCACCACCACCAGTACACCGCCTCTCGGCCGAACATATCGCATCCCCCTTCCCCGTCGGCGGTGCTCGCATCATGTCCCGCCTACCACATCCTCTCCGACGCCGGCCACGATGCCGCCCGCCCACTGCAATGTTACGGATTTGGGGCTCAAAGATGGGGAATCGATTTTGCAAGAAGGGGGAATGAAAATTAGGGTTCTTGAAAGTGAAAGGGAAATCGAAAAGTCGAAAATGAAAATAAAAACGGAGTTGCTCGATTTGAACGAGAACGGCCCGACACGTGGCAGTCAAACCCAGAAGACCGAAGAGACAAGTGTCAGTAGCATAGCGGAGTGAAGTGGCTATTTTAGTGGTTTCTTTTAAGATTAATTATTAAATAGCAGATTGTTATTTTAGATTCTTTTTTATGTATTTTGGCATGTAGTATGTGAAAATGGTGTGGGATGTTATTTGTTATTTAACTTTCGTGAAATGAGAAGAAAGAAACAAGAATTACAACCAACTTCTCTCTCTTTCTCTCTCTCTCTCTCTCTACAATTTCTTCTTCCTCAAGGAATTACAGTATCCAAATCCACAAAAATTATCATACAAAATACGTAAACACAACATTTGGTATCAGAGCTCTCGATCCTCGGCATGGCTGAAGGCACGCGACTCAAAGAACTGCAAGAAGCACAAAAAAGGGTTGATCAAATTTTGCAGACTGAAACCATGAAACGAGAAGCTGCAGAACTCAAAATGCAAGATAAATTCACAGAAATTTCCAGCAAATACGACCATCTCACCAACACACTAGCAGCAATTCAACTTCAGCTTTTGAACATCACAAAGGATAACCCAGAAACAGAATCAATCTTAGGCCTTTTTGCTGATGGCAGTTCATAGAGGACAACCAAATCATCCTACCAACAGAGGACAACCCCAGAACAAATTCAGACTCCTATTTTCAGCCCAATGCCTAAGGTAGACTTTCCTAAATTCGATGGGAGTAACCCTAGGTCTTGTATCATCAAATGCAATAGCTACTTCAAGTTGGTGCAAAACATTCCCGAAAATCAAAGGTGCACCTAGCCTCCATGCACTTGGAGGGAAAGGCTGCCCTATGGTACCAGAACTCTATTTCTAAGCAAGGTGAGCTAACATGGGCACAATTCCTTGAAGTAGTCGCTGCCAGGTTTTAGGAGATCAAAGAGTCTAAGGTTATAGCAGAATTTAACAAAATTAAGGCAAGTGGGGTTTTACAATGATTATGTTGATAAGTTTGAAGAGTTAAGGGCCTGTATGATGATGATGAATGGGGCTGATTACAGTGAGGAATACTTTGTTGCAAGCTTCGTGAGTGGACTAAGTGATGAACTGCAATCTTTCATCTCCATGTTTGACCAAAAAACCTTACAACAAACCATTGAGCTCGGCAGGAAACAGCTGCATACCCTAGATGCTATTTCTACAAAAACGAGGACAGTTCACATGCCCTCTTTTCAGACTCAACAGGTAACTAGAAGGGGGGAATTCAAACCCACCAACTCCCCTAAACCAGGCAGTTTGAGGCCACCTGTCAAGCTTCTCACCTCAGTTGAGATGACAGCAAGAAGGGAGAAGGGGCTCTGCTATAATTGTGATGAGCCTTATAGCTATGGACACAGATGCAAAAATAGGGCCACCTACATGATAATGACTGAAGAAGAAGAGCTCAACAGCATCAAAGAAATCCCTGGAGACCCACGGTGGGAAGAGGAGCTGTTAGAGGAGGTTCACATTTCTCTTAATTCAATTAGTGGGGAAGATGGGGTAACCACCATGAGGATGCAGGGCTTATTAGGCCAAGAGAAACTCCACATCTTGATTGACACAAGGAGCACACTTAGCTTCATCCAAGAGAAGACAGCCAGAAGGTTAGGATGTGAGATTGTGGAGGCCAAACCTATACTAATCAAGGTTGCTAATGGGCAAAAGATGGTAAGTTCACAGAGGGCCCACAACATCAAGTGGGTAATTCAGGGGCATGGATTTACTTATTCACCAAGGCTGCTTGCAACAGAAGGATGTGATCTTATACTGGGGGGTGACTGGTTAAAGTCATGTACCCTAGTGGAGTTTGACTATGACAAGATGACAGTTGTAGTGAGGCTGGGAAATAAGAAGGTCAAAATCAGAGCTCTCACTTCCCATGTGGAGTGTAAACTCATCACTGTGCCATCCTTGTACAAGCTTACTCACCAGGAGTGG